CCTCTTATTTTCACTGCCAAGCCCTACGTGCTTTACATAATATTCTTCTATTCTTTGTGATCATCAGCGGAAAATACGGTTGCCGGATAAGTGGTTGTGACTGAAAAACGCGAGAGAGACTTTTTTACACTTGCAGCGGAGCAGAGATTGATTCAAGGAGAGTGTGCGCTGGTACGTGATGTGTGTATACGTACGAAACGTTGCGTGAAATAAGACGACACTCGCCTCAACGTGAGTGGTGTACCTCCGCAAACTTTTTTTTCCTTTGTTTTTAGGTCACCTTCACTTTCGGGGTTTTTTCCGCTGTGTCGTTTTATTGATTCAAGCAATTTGCCGAGAGCTCAAAAAATGAACTCAGTCACGGACGAACCAATCCGATAAGTGCAGTCGCAATTTCCAGATGATATAACAGACTCTCGCGAGCTTTCGATCCAAAGAAACAATTTTCCAAAGCAATGCCCTTATTCTCAATTAAACAGAGGCGCCACGAGTGGAGGCGAGTTTGCCGATGCATCTCTCATTTTTCAGGATGAAACGCTTCTCGAGGGAGCGTTGAGGAAATTGGGAAACCATTGGATCGTCATTTTGCCCCTAGTGTATTTTTACTTTCAAATTAACCGTCGGGCTGCCGAACCTTTGGAGTACCCCATGACCTAAATGAAAAATTACTCTATCCTTAAATAATTTTAATAATCGCTAACTAAAAACAAATCATGAATTGATAGGTTTCTTCTCTATACGTTAAAAAATCGCGGAGCCCTAGAAAAACTGTATTTTGTTGTAAACAAATAATTAAGACACCCAAACTTAATAATAAAATGTTACTGTTCGTTTACAAGACAATTAAAACCATCCAAGTCTTAAGTACTATCTTATAAATTCTTATTTTTGTTTTTCGCTCGCATATTCAAAGTTATGTAGTCTGTTAAGTCTACACCTTAATAGTTTTATAAGCAGTGACAGTTTCCGAAAGTTTTCTCGACCGAGAAAGCTTCAGTGCCTTAATGGACACATGCAAATTTAGTGCTGGCAATAGCGATAGATTTTCATGGCATGGTCTTTTTTTTTTTTAGGAAAAAGTGTGGTTCGTCTTGCAAAAAGGGCCATATTTTTTCACGCTAATGGGTTTGAGACAATTTTTCCTGTAGCGTATGTTTATTTGGAAGAAAAAAATCCATAGCGAAATTCTAATAGTAGAAGTGACACTGCACAACTGCAAAATTCAAAGTGAAACAAGTATTTCTTCTGTTGCGAGTATATAATGTACTTTGGCCCTTATCGATTAATGATTGCCATATTTTCGGACTACTCTTATAACGTATAAGCCTCGTCAGACACACCTTGAGTAGAAGTAAAAGACGAAAAATTTGTTACACGAGGAGTTCTTACGACATGAATTATCAATCTGTTTTTGATCTTATACAATAGTTCCTCTCTGCATGACGTAAGTATCACGTATTAGACCTAGTGTATTCAAAAGCGTGCATTTACTTTTTAAAAAAAAAGAAAGAAGGGAAGTATTGAAAATCATGCCAAGAAAAATACGCAGAAAATCGATACAGATTAATGCGCATGATAGACATATTTGGACGAGAAATTGTAGTGATGAGTGATTGACTCGAGATGATCCGACTCGCAGGTGCTCCACCTAGATTTTGTATAAGGGATTTGCATCTCATGCGTGAAATAATGCGACATGAGTTTGAAGTTTTATGTATCCCCCCATATTTGCTTTCAGAAAGCTTTTTACCCCTGTTTTCTTATTTTAGATAAATTGCTCATTTCAAACAGATTTTTAAACACGTCAGCATTACCCAAAGAAAAATTTAACACTAAGTAAACAACCAAAGGTACACTTTTAAGTGCCCTCGTATTATTCTCTCTCAAAGAGATACGTTTTCAATCGTTCATTTATTAAAATTTACAGAAAAAACTGTCAATTTAAAAACATTAACATGCAAATCAAATAATTAAGAACGGATGTTTTATTTAGTCTATGCTTAACTATAAACAAAGTAAAATAAATACAAAAAAATAACAAACAATGCATTTTAAGTTTCAAACTGACCGAACGGTTACTCTTTAAGAAAAAAAATTACTTTAAATTTCGTAAATTAAAATATAGATAAGAGTGATTAACTTTCCAAACAACTGTTGCGAGAAACGAAGCTCCAACGAGATCAACAATAGCCCATTAGTGCTAATCCCCTTGGAAGAAACAAAACAACGAAGAAGAGAAAAATAGCTCAAGGAAAAGGAAACAGTAGAACAGCTCGTAGATGATAAAATTAAAAGTTGCGTGCGTAGGACAAATCAACTCATCAGTACGGAGAGATGCTGCACTCTGACCTGCAATCTCCCCATCTCTCCCTTTGCGTCTCAGTCACTTGGTATTCGAAAGCTGCAATGGGTCGATCACTATACCACGAAGTAAATCAGTTAAGCTCGCGTGGACTTAAAAGCAGAAATAATTTAATATATACAAAAGTTTTTCTAATCTTTACCGAGAGGGAATTAAACTTTCCCACAGCAGCCTGGGGTCTAAGAGATAAAATGCATTCAAAGAGGAGGGATGGAGTTCAAACTTTGCCGATGCCTGTTCTACGGAATCTTAAATGGATCGCGAGCTGGCCGTGGAAATACTCTGCGAGAGCCAATATTTACCTTTGGCTGCCAGAGTTTATGTTTATTCGTTTCCCCAAGCTCGGGGATAGTGGGCCAACAGAACTTTTTTCACATTCATCATCTCATAAATTTGTTTACGCAGGAGCCGGTTCGTTGATTTTCGACTGATTGTTAATTGCAATTTGTTCCGGCGTGTAAGCGCAATTAACACTTGCCGGGCATTTCCGTTGTTGCGGTAATTTTCGCCTCCTTGGATAGCTAAATTCAAAGGTAAACACTTTAACCGTAATTGTTTCATTAAGCTGAGTTGATGGGCTGGTTTCAAATTGAAAATTCAGTGACTCTTACATCAAGTGACAATCATGCGCTTACACTAGTTCCATTACTAAAAAGATCGGCCTATCAACATTGCGAACACATGTCTGACTAAACTCGTTTTGTACTACTGATCATTTCTTATAGTTTATTTTGCTCATTAAAAGTACATCTACTGTACTCTTCAATAGTTAAAAGTCGAACAACGAGATGTCTGACCAAACTTGCTTTGTACTACTAGTGATATATTTACTCAATGATTGGCCGTACATTACTCTTTATAAAAAGTTGAATAACGAGATGTTTGACTAAACTCACTTTGTACTACTTATAATTCCTTTGCTCAACGAAAGGCCGTATACGTTTTTCTCCATCCATTAAAAGCCAAGCAACGAGATGGCTGACTAAACTTGTTTTGCACTACTTAAAACTCCTTTATCAAACGTAAGGCCGCCGTTTCCTTTTGAATACAGTATTGCTTCAACAAAACATAATAACCTTTTGACCGTCCCACGTAGTAATTTAACAGCTCGCAACTCGACTGTGCACCCAAGGCCATTTCCTTGTCGCCGAACGTGCACGCAACTCCAATTACTCGCCCAAGCATCTGCGAAAAAGGGAGCGGAAGCCCACCCTGTTCGCAATAATTATCAATAATTATTCTTACGAATTTGAATGCGGAGAGTCAGTATTTCCCCATGGCTCGCGTGTAAAATACAGATCTGGGTTAATAAACACTCGAGAGTGTAATCAAAATGAACGCCAGCCCCCGCGGGTTTCGCGCTTGTTTCTCGTTTTCCGGTGTCACGGAAGTGTAAGACCAACCGGAGAAAAATGGAAAATCGTATTTTCAATGCCACCACGGTTTTTCCAATTCCCACGAAATTAATCTCTTGTGTAATGCGGTTCCTTAGCCAAGGTTAGAGTTTCAAGCCGCCGAGGGTAAACAGTTGTAGCGTGGCCAACATCTTTTTTTTCTTCGTCACTGCGTCGTATTTCGCGGTGGAAATCGTTTGCTACAAGGTCTTTCTTTAATCAAACGCTAAGCTGAAATTTAAAAGGAAGACTCGCTGGAATTGCAAATGGAGGGTCATTAATGCTTTCAAAGCGAGGCCTGAGTTGTATACATCGTCAACAGTGTTTGCAGTAATTTGAAAGAAGCCTTTTCATGGTTCTTTGAAATGCCGTCATTGACAAATCTCTCGATGATGAGGTTCTGGTAAACAAGTGCAATTCATTTATTTTCTCGTTTTCCACCTTACTGTAGTATATCAATACTGCATCATAGCATGATGTACAGCGACAAACTAACCATTCCTTCAAGTCCTACTTGGAGCGTCTCACCAAAAGCGGGGCATATCATTTTTATCCTCACCTTAAAGCTCTTCGTGTTCAAGGATAAGAAAAAATTGGTGAATTAAGGTAAATGATACTTCGCTAATGGCGATACGCAATTTGCGCTTTCATTTTTGAGCTGCGGTCTTTAAAGTAGTGGGGACATTAGGGGCAGCCATAAGTTGACTCTTAGCATTTTTCGGCTATATTTCGCATGAGGGCTGGCCTCGTTATTCATATGTTTTTTTTTTCCACAAATTTTTCGGCATTCCTTTAAAATATTCGTATTAAATGTAAATTTTCTCCCCACGTTTTATTGCCTTTTTTCACAAAAAGTGCAAGCGCTAACGCAACTCGGTTGAATTACGAAATACCTTGAAGCTTTAAGAAAAAAGAAACTGAAGCCATCTAATTCTCACTGCTGCTCATTCCACGTAAATCGTTGCAACTTCAACCTCAAATTTTTTCAGCTTTACTTTAAATCTTAAAAATACATTTTAGTTTGTTTTGTGCATAATTTTATTCTTCCAACGGTTCGTATGAGCTCTAAACGTTTCACCCATGCGTGAATAGCCGAGTTCTTTGAGACGACTTTTTCACTTGGGGTTCGTTTCAACCTTTGACTCCAGAGAGACATTTACCTTTAGTTTGCGGCACACTGTGTGCGCACAAAGATTGTATTCATTCTGTCCAAAATAAAGGTAAAAAAAGGGCCAAGAACTTACCTTCTCGTACATCTTGTCCGTATCGTTGAACCCGATGTAATTAGACCTGAGCCAAGTGTAGGCCAGAGTCCTGGCGACCTTCATAGCCGGCTGGTAGCCCGTTCTCTGCAGGCCCTGCACCACGATCGATTGCAGCGGCGGCCAGGCGTTGGGAAAGTCCCACTGCTGGCTGCTGTTGTCCAGCGACGTTGGGACACCACCTGTTTCTCAACGAGAAAATAATACCGTGAATTTCCATCATCTCTTTTCACTTTCCCCTCATCCCCGCTACGCTTTCTTCTCGTTTAGCTCTAATGAAAAACTCTTTGGAAGTAGAGGCGCTCGAGTCGTCGGGGGTAACTAATTTCTCTATTAAAACGCAATAACGAGCTTTTTCTTAAATCCAATAGCTCGACGCATAAATTACTCCGATGAATCGCGCATCTTTCAAGAAATCACTGTACACTTGTCATTTCGCGCTATTAATGCGAAAATCTCATTCGACAATCAATAATAATTTAGCAGTCCCGAGTGGAATATATCGCTCTGACGAGCGCACTGCAGTGAAGATTGGCAGGTAGATTAAACGCAGCTTAATAATATTCACCGGAGAGAAAAAAATAATTATTCATCAAACGCTCGAGTAGAGCACATCGTGGAGCACAATTGCGAAATTTAGTCGAAAGTGCTCGTCAAAACCCACTTCAGGAACAGGTCTACAGGAGCAAAAAGCTCGCTCCCGTGGACGATAATGCGAACGCACTGCAGCGGAGCTCAATCAGCGAGTGCCCGATGAAAAGCTTTGCCCATAGCCTTCCTCCGCACAACAGCGTATAACGGCCACGCATAATCACGCGGTTAGCGAGCTTGCACCCGCTAGCTAAAGCTACGACCACATCTTGCCCCGACGGGTACTCGAGCTCGCGCGAACCAAAGTTCGGCCCGTAATCGCGGCCTCATAACGCGTTTCCACGCTCGCTTTCTGTTGGCCGATGGATCGCGGCGCACGTGATGTTCCATTGGGGTGCTCGAGAAAGCTTCCTAGCTCCCTACTCACGAAAAGGAAAAAAAAATAAAAACATACGGAAATGTCGCTTTTTACTTCTCTTTGTAGGTACTCTCTTTTGTGTGACCGTTGCGCCGGTACAGGCTTTTATGATTTTTTACTTGGTATTTTACAACGCAAAAAGTTAAACTCACGTCCGTGCACAGCTGCATTATTACAGGTTTTTGGAGGCACGTAATGGAACGATGAATAGAATGCTTTTAGAAATGGAAATGCTTTTAATGACCGCCAGCCATCCTACTATGATAAGTGAATGTAATTATTATTCTTGTTATTATTTTTATTTATCTTTTTATATATATACATATATAATATATACATTTCATACTCCCTTTCGGGTTTGGAGGGCGTTATTATTTTTATTATTATGTAGTATGTACTAACGTACTATCTACTTATGTACTAATCGAACTTCTTTTCATTCTACCAAGGCCAATTGTTATTTGAAAAAGCATTTATTAAAATAATAATTGCATTCAGAGATAATTCTATTTGAATCGGTATTACGAGAAAATAGAAGGAAAAAATTATTTTAAAAATTCTGCAAGCTGAATGCAAAACGAAAAAGTACACGTACAAGAGCCATTGAATTTAAAAGTAATAGCTTATCACCGAATTTTAGTTGGTAAGCATTTTGTAAGAGCTTCTCAAAGGGACGACTTGAGCCGGGTGCACTTACGTACACAAACTGCAGTGACTGAAAAATCAAGTTTTACGCTATTTATACTGCTCGTAAAATTTTAAAACGTGAAACTTTTAGTACTCATCATCTAAGAAAAAAAAAAAAAAAAAAAAAAAGAGTTAAATATACGAGAGGACGGGGATGCATGTTTTAAAAGGATAAGAGCGATTTTTCCTTAAATTTACACGTGCACTAGATTTTTTTACTATTTATGTTTCAAGGCATTTCTTGGACTTTAATATACACGACGTACAATCTCACGATTCCTCCTAAAAGCTTTTTATCCCTCTATTTTAAAGATCGTGCTTTGAAATTATTTTTCACAAGGATTGACTCTTTAAAATTATCTTCATTTAATTCATTTGCGCTGAAAATCAGACTAATGAAACGCTTTTATATAAAAAAAAAACGGAAACTTGATTTCCGCTCCTACTATAATATTCATTATCCTTGCCTGAGAAGCAAACATCGATCAAGCAAATACGCACTTGATGGTTCGTACATTCATTTATAGGGTACTCTCATCGTGATAAAAATGGAGAAAACAAATAAAAAAAAAAAAAAAAAAAAAACACAAAGAACAGCCAAACTCATAAGCACTGCCGTTACGTAGTTCATACTCCATACCGTACGTACATTATCATACTTACGGAACGAGAAGCTACTACTGACCCATTGTTCCCCAACAAAGCTCCCTGACTTCCGACCTTCCCCCGCGAGGGACAGTACGTGCTTCATCTTTCTCTTTTACCGTTGTATTGCGTGGAGAAACGCGGACGAGCAAGCGCGTGCGATGCATATTTTATGTCCTCTCTTTCTCTGCTGTTCTATTTCCCGTGTCGTGTGCATACCCTTTTTACGTTTTCCGAGAATAAAGAGCACACCACCTGGCATATTGTTTTACTTCTGCTTCCGCTATCCAACGATGGGAGTAATTGTTTTACACAAATTTTACGCAGCACGGTATTTCGAGTTCTGCTTCAATTATTTACAGAGTAAGGCTTTGTTTTTTTTGTTTTTGTTTAATTGCCCGCACATTATAACTTGTATGCTTGCAATATAATAAAAATAAGAATAATAATAACAATATTATAATAATAATAAAAATGATAGCAATAATGTTTTTTTTTTTTTTATATTATAGTGCTCTACGTCCGGCTCCTTTTATAAGGGGCACTACTATGGGCACTTAGCACTTGGGAAAGGGACAAGAAAAAGGATGGGAAGGCCCCCCATCACTGGGAGGGAGGGTAGGGGGATATTAGGCAATTTTCGCTGCGGGAAGGTCGCCTAAACCCTCCTCGAGGAGCATTGCGTGGTGAAAAAGCACATGTGAAAAATCACAGAGGTACTTGCCCGAAAAGTCGCACTGGCCGGGAATCAAACCACGATCTCCCCGCGTGAAAATCCACGACCTAGCCAACCGAGCGACCGCACGCTTAGTAATAATGGTTATAGAAATAAGTAAAACATTTATCAAAAAATTCCTAGTCACAGATGATGTCATTTAATATTTATGAAGATTGTTTGTAACACGTGGCACACGGCAGAATATTATCCAACAAATACCTGAGGTTAAAATGATCTAATAATAACTTTGAATTCAAAGATGAACTTAAAAAGTGTTGAAAAAGGAATAATTTTGTTAGAATATATTGTATTATGAGATACAAGGAAGGTTATCGGTTTATGTGAATTATAATATCTTATGACTTAAGTAGTTTTAAAGATACTCTCCACGAAAATAAGAAGAAAAAAAAAATTGTTGATACTAATAATTGTTGTGATTAAATTTTGTGAATTTTTCAAAAAAAAAAGTTTATAAATGTTTAACGAAGAGCTTCGTGCTCAGTAGGAATTACGTCTTACGTTTCGCGAAACAACATCGCAGGTGCCGGAATCCACCAGCCGAAATGATGACGACGAGAAAGCACTGAAGGGACAACAACGGGTAAGAAATGTCAGCAGTTACCAACAGCAGCTTGTGTCCACAGCCATGTTGTACTTAATCCCGAGTGTCTTTATTTATTCATCCAGAGCTGAATCCTACTCATGTCCCAACAGAGAGCATTGCCAAGGCTTTGCGTGACAACGTCAATATATACCTATTCCGGTTGAGGAGACCGCGCTAACTTGAGTTTACGCTCGAGCTAAAAGGCTTTTCTCAGCTTGACGTACCTCTGTAATCTTCCTTCAATTACGGACTCGACGTGCCACTAATTCCCGTCGTCTCGACTAAATTTTGTGTAATTTTAATTTCCAGTGATATTATTTTAAAACCAACATTATTTTTCTCTTTCTCTTTCGATCCAATTCGTCCAGGAGAGATGATTTTATTTTTTTTGCTCCGCAGCTCGCATTGGACTCATTTATGAACGGCTACGATTTGAAATCCTGATTGTGCAAACGCTTATTACTCAGGTGTTTTATAGCCCCCAGGCAGAGCATCTGCTTGATGGAAAATTAAAAAGAAGAGATAAGAAGTATTGCAGTTATTTAAAGGGATATTAAATACCAGATGAGTATAAAAGTCATGATTTACAGGCGAGCATAAAAACTTAATGTTCAATACTTTTTAAAGCGTATTTTTATTTTAGGATTCGTGCTTATTTAGAATTTTTTGTGGCACGTGCTCGTATTTATGATACGCCGGCTGAACGAGCGATGAATTATCAAAGCACATTATATGTACCGTGCACGTGCGGGATAAATTATTCACGCTTGGAAACGAATGTCAACACTTGGCCGTAAATTTATGAAACAATTGAGCTCTCGAAATTTCTAATTAAGGACCGGGGAAAACCCATTTCTCTGGCTTCATTTTGATTATGTATAATTGGAGTGTGACATGTTCGTAAATTAAGCTATTTGATTTTATGATAAACGCAAGATAATACTTGTAATATTCAAACAATGAAAGGGTAATTAATATTTTATTTAATCAATAACAAAGTTAACTTACTATAATAAACATTTAACTAACTTGACAAACAAATATCTGCATTAACGACTAAATGTTTCTTTTCATCGCATCAATATTACTTGAGTGAAGTTATGAAACTTCAATACTAAAGCACTGGATCAAGACTTTATTTAATGTCCAGTAATGTTTTGAGCAAATATTTCTTTGACAACTTAAAACGGTATTTCAGAAAAGTAAAAATAATATATTATCTACGACTCTATGGAAAAAATAAAACTACATGAGTTTTGAATTTAAGGCAAGCTCATTAAAACGATTAAATACGTGTGAAAATTTTTAAAAGAAAACTTATTGCGTAATTTTGTACTCGACTTTGTAGTTGAGATTAGTAAGATAGACGGTAAACACTACAGATCGTGATGCATGTCTGACCATATCCGGTCTTGTTCTACCTCCTGTTTGTTTAGTATTTAAAATGGTACGTTTGAGACTCTTGGCTGGCTATAATCGGTCTTGTTCTACTTTCCTTTTTCAAGATTCTACACACGGTAGTTATCTGACTATGCCTGGTCTTGATCTACGTCCTTCTTTTGAGTAATACAATAAAAGCAGCTATAACGGTGTCTTCAACTTAAAATGTTAATTTTAGTTTTCAAACAATTTCATAATATTATTATTCGCGAAAAATAATGTGAATGACTTCATATTATGTTATCAAAGAATAAAAAGCAATAAAAAAATTGATAACCATTCTACAATTTATGCACAATTTCTTTTTTCGGCTCGTTATGGAAATAAAAGAACTGATTTTATGAATATCTATCGAAATTTTCTTCGCCAGAACCATTTTACGGGGAATGCTGATGGTCTAACTATACTCGCTTTCATTCTATTACCCTTTCTTATATGTTACAATCAAGGGCACGACTCTTTTCCGATCACGGCTAGTATTAATCTACTTCCCATACTCTTGTCTGACCATAGCGGTATTGATCTACTTCTCATTACTGATCATTAAAAAAGGAATAACTCTTGTCTGGCCATAATTGTCTCGATCTACTTCCCATTATGGATCATTCATAAGGGGATAGCTCTTGTCTGACCATATTTGGTCTTGTTCTACTTTCATCTCTAAAGATGCTTTAAAGACAAGACTTTTGTTAGTTTATGCCTGGTTTTATTCTCCTTTCTATCATTATTTAGCATTTATAAAGAAATAACTGTTGTCTGACCAAATCAGATTTTTCTACTTTCATTTTTTAGATGCTACAAGTCAAAGGATTTCCTTCGCCTGATCATGTCTGGCCTTTATCTTCTTATTATTTAACATTTACACAAGAATGACTCTTGTCTTACCATAACTGTCTCGATCTACTTCCCATTATGGATCATTCATAAGAGGATAGTTCTGGTCTGACCATATTTGGTCTTGTTCTCCTTTCATCTCTGCAGATGCGTTAAAGGCAAGACTTTTGTTAGTTCATGCCTGGTCTTATTCTCCTTTCTATTATTATTTACCATTTATAAAGAAATGACCGTTGTCTGACCAAATCGGATTTTTCTACTTTCATTATTTAGATGCTACAACTCTGCTAGAATGACTCTTGTCTAACTATATTTGGTCTTATTCTACTCTTTTTTTTTCACCGCCTAGAAGAACATCACTCTTATCTAACAATAATCCAGTCTAGCTCTACTTTGCATTTTTCAGAATCTAATACGCTGTACACTGGTAACTTTAGTATTTTCAAAATAGTATCATGGATCATGCACTTACCGGCAAAATCGAGGATGCCCTTGCGGTGGAGATAGTCGACGATCTGCTGGCCTAAGCTGCTGGCCAAATCTCGCTCATAACTCATGGTGTAGAGAGGTGCCAAGTTTGACGGGTAAAATGAGGTCCTGTGCTTCTGATGTTTGGCGTCGTAGTCGAACCAAGTACCCTCTGTCGAATTCCAGTTAACGGCTGCAATGGCTGCGCGCAGATCCTCTGCTATGCCTTTGTAGTATTTTGCTTTCTGCTTGCGAGGGAAAAAAAAAACAAAAACTATTAACGATGAAATGCACCTTCTAATGAATGAGCTTTTTTTATAACTTGGTTCTTTGTTTCAAAAAATTAAAATTTATCAAGAGGCGGGTACATTAGTGTTTCAAATAGATCATGAACAAATACGTGATGATTAGCCAAGTAAAATAGGGTCGATAGATGAGAGAGGGCACAAGCGTTTTTTACTTTCCATCACGGCCGGTTGAGAAAGCAAACCTTGTTTGTGATGTTTCGGGACAATCTATCAATCAAAAACTGGCCGTAGAAATGATGGAGTACTTAATTATATATGTTTATAGTTACTTAGACCCGGAAACGTGAAACGTTAACAAACAGCTTATACAGACTTTATAGAGATGAATAATCGACTATCAATATATGTAAAGTCCGTTGTATAAGTTACTAAAAAATTTAGCTTCTACCCATAAATTAAGCTCTTCAAGAGACAGTAAAAAAAAAAAAAGGGACGAAACAATTTGAGAATTCCTAAAGTCTATAAGCTTAAAATTTCCGGGACAACGTCTTGGAGAGAAGAGAGCGAGAACGCCGCGCTGCTTAGTCGTGCAAAGTTGGCCTCCGAGTCGTTGAGATGCAAAGGAAGGGAGAAATGTACCGAAAATTAGAGCAATTACATGCCAACTATCATCAAACCAACAACGAGATAACCGTCTCCTGGTCCCAAGGCCGAAGGCAGCCCTGTCGGCGCGAGTTTACAAAATAATGCTACTTTAAACCAAACAAGCCCCTTGCGTGCCCAACAACACCCCGGCGATGCGTTTTCTCTTCTCCGGAGCTGCACTCGGCTCAGTGTGTATATACAGATGCCTAAGAGGGAGGGATGAAAGAAAGCAGGGGAAAAAAAAGTTTCAACGAAATACGAGTTACGAGCGTTTTTCTTTTCTCTGTTGAAACACCGCTTATCTCCCTTGCAGGTTTTCATTGCAGGAAAGAAAAATCGCTCTCTCGCTCTGTTTTGAGGCTAAGGGTGGTAAAATGACTGTCTATAGAAATCCGTGTACATACAGAGAAGGCTTTCAATGATTACGCTGCAAAAAAAAAAAAAAAAAAAACTGAGGGTAAGCGCTTTTCGACTGGTTAACGGAGCGGTTGAGGTTTCATTTATTTGATTTCTGATTAACATTCGATTGCCTGTTGATTTAGTTTGTAAGATTCGTTATTGATGGACATATTACTCTCAGTGAAAAATCTTACTTTTCTATTATTCCAATAAGAACAAGAAACGAATAATCTTACAATATAAGGGCAAATGACTCGAACCAACGTTAACTACTCATTCATTCAAACTCTTTCCATTTTCTTCCTGCCGTGACGGTCCTCCCAGCAGGAACTGTTACCCTTATTTTTTTTTCTCTCTCTATTCACAGTCGGTCGTATCGAATTAAGATACCTTCACCGATAACTCATACGCGAGCAACGCCAAGTTCGACCGACTAGGACGAAAGAAAAGCCCGACATTTACGACGAACGATTTATTACAATCATTTCCTCCAACGTCCTCCGCCCTCCATCTCCTTGAAAGAAAGAAGGAGAAAAATTTCAGCTGTATCGTACGTGCTTTTATTTAGGGCAGGCGGTAGCCATTAATATTCGAACCGCGTTTATAAACCTCGCCCGCGCTGGAGAGCCAGTCGATAAAGGGGATCGGTAATTTTCTTGCGACAAGCTGCTTAGTCACTTTACATTTTTTTTTTTTTTTTCCTCTTTAGAGAAGAGAGTGTATAGTTAAGGGTGAAATGTACCACATTGAACGACTTGCCTTGTAATTCTTGAGACCATTGAACCAAATGGCGAGGGTCCTGGCGTTCCTCTCAACAAAGGCGTTGAGATCAACGGGAACTACGTCCTGGGTGTTGATGTTGTCGAGATCGAAGGAAAACTCGCCTTTCGGGCCGACGAACCAACGCGCCGAAAAGTCCCAGCCGGACTCGGCACCGGCCTTCACGTTGTTGTAGAAACGACGCTTCTTTTCCGGATCGGTGATGCCCTGCGCGAGGTGGTAGTCCTCCCTGCGATTGCGTTTCATTTGCCATTGAAAGAGTTGCTGTCACATAGTCGTGGTGACACAGCTGTAACACTTACCGGTAACTTTCCGGGCGTGGACCCTCGCTGCTGGTCACGTACCGGTACATCTCGTGGATCTTGCCGTTCACGGGGATCTTGAGGGTCTTGTACTGCTTCCAGTACTTGAACTCTTTTTCTAGAATCGGCAGACTCTCGACCACGTATTTCCAATCCTTCGTGAACTCGTAGTACTTCTCGATCTGCCGAGTAATCACATTACGTGGTTGCACTCTATACACTATGGTCCTTGAAACAATTCGTGCGCTGTAGTGCGCGATGTACTCACCATCGACGTCAACAGAGGCGGCTGGCTTCTCATCAGGTAGTACACACGTCCGCCGTTGGGAATGAATCCATACCTCTCGATCATCTCCTTGAAATTTTCGATCATACCTCTCGACGTCTGGTACATGTCACTCAGCAGTAAGCCTTCGATCACCCAGTAACTGTCCCAGTAGTAGAACTCTGGAAACGATGTGGTTGACACGTTTTATTTTATTTTTTCTTACTTCTTTAAACGAAATAAGGTATTTCCGGATATCTCCTTCCAGCCATACACGAATAGTTAAAAAGTGGCTTACTACTGGTGTTGGTGAAAAGATATGACTGTCAAAGTCATCGAAAGTATCTTTATCTTTTGAACTTAAAAAGAAATTAGTTGAAACTCTTATTTTTCCACTACTTGACTATATGTCAGTTGCCTACCACTCGATTGATTCGATTTCAAATGCTAGGCTTCATACAGCACTGAACGCTTGCGTGCGTTTTGTTTTCGGCAACATGCCCCGCTATTCTAAAGTGACACCGTTTCGACTGCCCCTAGGTTGGTTATCTGTTGAAGGTCGTCGCGACTACTTTCTGGGGTCACTGGCCTACTCAACTATAGCGCATAACCGCCCGTTCTATTTAGCCAAAAATTTTAATCTCAGCTCAGATGAAGTTAGGCGCTCAGCTAGAACTTTGTCCACTTTATTGCTTTGCCCACGTTTTAGAACATAAACTTTTCGACATTCTTTCCTGATCCAGGCTATTTACTTGCTAAACAGAACGTGCATCCCAGTCTTCGATCCTGCGCTCATTACTAATTTCAAAGAATCTTTAAGGAATTCAATATTAAATAGAGAGAAGATTGAGAATGTGATGGCTTTGAATGAATGATACAGCTGCTAAACTAAGCTAAATTACAACAAAATTTAACCTTAATTCAGCCAAACACGCTTTTTACGCACTACATAAAAATCCTTTTTATTTATTTAGTTATTTTTAGCGAGTACTGTCAAATTTCTATTATCATTGTAAGATATAATGTTTAACAAATTCTAGCATATACAAAATTGTACCTATTTCTTTAGCCTTATACCACTACAATCTTAATTAACTTTTACCTACAATCACTTGCTTCATGTAATTCGTGTATATATATACATATAAAGTGCAATCTAAATCTAAATCTAAATCTAAAGTCATATGAATATGTCATGGAATAATTTAGACTTTCGATTGTTTCAAAGTCTTTTGAAGACCTTGCCATTCTTGCATTGTGCATCACTTAACCGATGATAAAAAAAAAAGGCAGTAAACAGTGAAATAGATAACCCACCCTTGAATCGTCCCCCGGGAATAATGAAGGGATGATCGACGTAGATGAGACTGTGCCTCCTGGGACGATTGCGCACGTCATCGGTCATCTTGCGCGCCAACATCTTCCAAATCTGGTTGAGATCGTAGACCCAGCGTTTATAGTTTGGATCCCTCACTCGTTTCATCAGACTCACGTGCTCCCTCCAATCGGCCAGTGTGGCGTTTTGCAGCTCGTTCACATCCTCGAAGTGGTCGTTCACGAACTTGCGCAACTCCTCGCGACTCGGATTGTCGTTCGTTTTTTGCATCAGCATTTTGAAACTGCGAATCATTGGGGGCATTTTTACGTTTCAATGGCGCGTATCTGTACAATGATTGAAGGGAATTTCAAGTGTATTTGACGATGAAGTGGGTTCGCGCTTTGAAACAAAATGCATGCGACTCGAGCCCGTTGGAATTTATTACCAAACTGAAACTAATTCTCTCGTGTGTGAGAATAAAAAAAAAAGAGATGTTGTGTAACTGATACGTCATTCTGTCAGGTACCGCTCGACTGGCCAAATAACTCCTCGGAAATTTCCAAAGGGAGAAAAAATCGACGATCGTCGCAACTTCATACATCATCGTTTTTCAGGGCCCGGGCCAAAAGTTTGATCGTTATCGCTTGGCGTGAAGTGGAAACGAGAATCCGATTTCTACAGTACGAAAACATATGTGCGAACGAGTTAGGTGCCGTTTGGTGGGTATTCAATCGCTCGACTATTCACTCACTTGGCGAGCGTCACCTCCTCGTCCTGCTTCTGGTAGAGATCGACGAAGGCTTTGCTGTCGCGCGTCAAGTTTGCCAGCTGGACTCTCTTTAGCAGCTCGCCTTGACAATAGACTTGGCTGCAACACAAATAAAAGGTTTCCTTTTTTTTTAATTTTGTTATTACTTTTTTTTTTTTATTATTATCATTATAATTTACGTACAAAAGCTATTTCGCGTCAAATAACGGTCACGACAATGGGGAAGGGAAGAAAAGGTAGTGAAAGCTTTTACAGTGGTTATTGCTCTTGGCGAAGTTTTCGTACCTTCGCCTCAAGCTTCTTAGGAAACAATGACGATGTTGTACGATCCTCGCAAAAAGTGGACGCCAAGTTTCCTTTCCACTGTTTATTTTGAATATAGTCTTTTGGTAATTATACTCTCACAATTTTCAGTAGGTTCCCTCCCTTTACTTGGTGCTTGCTGAGAAAAAAGTTTTTCGAACGAGTTTTTGACGAACGCCAAGTCTAATACCCCATTCAAGGGCTATTTTAGACTTGTACGACTGAGGTGGGATAGAATTTTTTTTTTTAAGCTGTACATTTTTCAACACCAGAAAGCTCGACTTTTACAGTTGGGAGTCAAAGAAATGACGTAATTCCTCCGATGTGATATCTCGTTGTCGACTGCGTTTCACAATCCGCACTTTTTTTCATGGTGTGGTAAAAGAAAAACTCTGATCCATATGGGTGATTTTACAAAGACAAACTTCGGAAAAAAATACATTTGTCCAGTTGTTTGGCCAAGCTAAGCTGTCTCTACGTCAATTAGAGCATTTTTTTTTTTTTTACTTCAAAAAGAGAGGTAGCTCGTTTCGACGTACCCTGTGTACGCGGATACTCGAGCGTGGCTTTTTTGTGCCACGCGAGAGCATTGAAATGGAGACTGTAACTGCGGATGTGGACAAAAGCTGCAAGAGCCAGGAAAAAAAGTCCATGATAGAACTCAGGCATTGGCGAAGCGTGTGAGCGCGGAAGCTTAATTATTTTGCGTAAGTGGCGATGTTGGCATTTATATGAATCAGGAACTTTTTGAGATCATTAGTTCAACACCTACGTGGCTATTTATTCCTCGTGCGATTTTTGCTGGACAACGAATCTCACGATGCTTGATGTTTATGTTTGTAAAAGAAAAAAATTGTCGGGTTTCACCTTAAAAAAGAGCGAAGAGTACTACTCGCTCAATCTCAATTTTCCTTCGAAAAAAACAAAAAGATAGCCGGAGCAAAGGAAAACGTAAGCTCTCCCTAGGTGGTGCTTGTAATAACGAACGAGAATTTACACACCTCCGAAGAGTAGCCGGTATTCTCCGGTGCCTAATAAACATTTTAATTTTCTCGCCGGAAAAACAAAGGAATACACGCTCGAAGACGATACATTGTTCACGTATACTAACAAGCTCGACAGCGCTTTTGTCACAATTTAGTGTCCGACAAAAGATTGCAGACTAAAGCTTTAAAATTCCTTAAATCCCTGCAGGATCTTGGTGCACCCTATGCATCCAAAGAATCTCATTACACTATGGTTTTTTTTTTATTAGTTACAAATAAGATAAGTACATCCAATCCCAAATATGATATCCTATCAGTAATCAATCATCTTCGTTCCAAATTTTAGGATTTATTGAGGTGTGAAAAAAAAAAGCTTCTCGTAAAGGTGAAAAACATGAAAAAAATACACATGAATGAGAAAAAACAGGATTCAAACGAAGAAGCAGCCGTGCGTGATTTTTACCTCGGCATATTTTTGCGAGAAAACGAGCACCAGTATCGGTGAAGTTACGCGCGTCGAGAGCTTCTTGCACAAGTGGATTCCTGACTCGCTCGGGGAAATCGCGGACGCGTCATGATGTACATCAGACGCACGGCATCCATGTGTACGGTTGAGAGAGCGTAGGGTGGTTGGGTAATCCAGTCACGTAAACTGTCGTCCCTGTGATCCGCCGACGGAAGGAGTTGGATCGATGGAGTACGTACCCTACGTGCCGAAAAGCTCCTCCCTCCGATGCTATCCCTCCGGAGAGTAAAGATTGCATGCGGAGAAAGGCTCGAGGAAGCAAGAAGGATCGCCGTTGCTACACTCAAGAAAAAATGTGTACGACGCGCTGGGGTTTTAACATTACTCCTCGAGGCTCTTCCTCCGAGTTGCTTGAAACAAAGAACGAAATGATCGAGAGATGCTGGTGGGTGGTGCAAATTTCACTGGAATTCTTTTGTGGACAAGAAGCGAGGAGACACCAAGTGCCTCGAGTTACGCCTCGTGATTTGCGAATGCGACTCTCGGACCATTAGCTCTGTGATAGTAGTTTAAACACGTGCGTATGGTAAATAATCACTTCGTGAACTCTAAGCTGTAATATATGTCGTACGATTCGAATCGCACATCTTGATAAATTTTATCTCTTAAATGCATGAATTATTGTAACAACGTCGAATTGATAAACGTTACGCAGATAAGCTGTGCAATAAAAGAAATCAAGCAATCATCACACATTTAACACAAACACGAGTGTACTCTAAAAGACGTATCTTCTCAGATAAAGTTTATCGGTGATGTATCTTGGTTTTTTTTTTTTTTTTTTTTTAATTGCTTGTCAGATGTTATATCTAGTATCAATTGAATTTCAAATATTACAAAATTCATAATCCCACAGCACCGAGTTGAAAATAAAATTTTTGGTAAGAAAAATAATTTTCTTTTTCATCGAGGACCGAATTTTTCATAAATCAGCGTTATCAAGGACGAGCGTTACGATCCGCGTCCTGATGATAAACGTTTTCCAATAAATTCCTCTGGTTCGGTTGATTATTTACAGCGCGCTCATTGTATTCCGGGGTCATAAATCATTTCCTTATTATATTGGCCTTTAATCAAGATCAGTTTGACTGCCAAAAAAAAAAAATTTTCAAACAATACAATTCTCGGGAACAACTGCTCCACAAGTCCTTCCTTTGCGTCTAATCTAAAATTCCGGACCGTAAAACAGTTTTGCGTCAAAGGATTTTCAAGAAAATTTGTCAAAACGCGTCAAAGGTAAGGGAATTTACATGACTCGCGTATGAATATTCATACCCGAGACAACGAGACTCTCTCATAACTAGCTTATTGCGCAGTGAGAGAGAGGAATTCGCATAGTTAGGGTGGGAAGAGTTTTCAGCTTAATCCGATCATGTCGTTTTAAAGTTGGGGCTACGTTGTCATCACGTTGCTCTTATTATTTATCTCTGCGAAATTTCCGATTCCGTACAGGTGGGTAGAACAAGTTAGAGGTAAGATCTTACCTGCTAAGGAATGAAATAAATTAAAGTGTACAAGTTTCATTTCGTTGGTATTTTGTTTTTCTCCTAAAAATTATGAAATCTCATCATGATGTTTTTACAAACTGTTGGATAAAAAAAAAAAACTCTGAAAAATGGACACAAAGACCACTAAAAAGCTCACGAAGCTCTCAACCCTACCTGTATGGATATACCAGCTCGCGAAATCGTTAAAATTTAGATTAGCACCAGCTAAAAACAACAACAACAAATGACCCTGAAACGTCAGCGAGTAACTTTAATTAATCAAGCCAGAGCATCCACCCGCGTCCTAGTTAATCAACTATAACGCAGGACGAAAATTCCCTTGCCCCACTGTGGAGGAGAGCAGCCAGCGTCTGCTAGCTCTCGGCAACCAAGGAAGCCCATTCTGCGAGACCTCATTACGCGACTCGTCGCCCGACGCGCTTCTTTGTCCAGTTGACGTTCTGCCGGTCCTCTCAAGCTCGCCCTCTAGGGTGTCTCTCGCGTCGTCGAAACGGATGCCGGCGCGAGGACCCCATTGTCCGAGTGTCAAGAACATATATACTGCTCCCGCTACAGCCACTCCCTCTTTCTCTCTTTTTTACTTTTTTTTTTACTTTTTTTCGAGTACAAAAACAAACAAAAAAACAAATACGTTGTCCAGCGCTTTTGTGAGATCCAATTAGCACTGGCTCAAACTTGAGTGATTTTCGCACAAATTAATTTGAAAAATTCCGCGCTTGGGAGGGGCGAATAAGTGAAAAACGTAATTTTGGTCGCGAAATTGCGTTTTCATTATCATAAACACGCGCAGGGCTGGCAAATGGGGATGGCGCCTTTGGCGATTCGAGAGATCGAGGAGAAAAGTATTATCACGAGCAACAGCAGCAACTCAAGGCAATCCATTAAAAGTTTCGAGGGGAAAAAAAAAACTTCATAATCTCGCTAGATAATGAATTTTGCGAGAACTACGGCGTGCACGCAGTCCTCCCCCCCTTGACCCTTCCTTTGGATGAGAAATATTATCAAAGAAGGGGGTGAGGAGAAAACGAGTTTGTATTCATTTTTAAGGTGCATCTGTATACCTTGCACAGATTGTGGCTGAGGTTTTTTCTTGTTCTTCAAAGACAAACGCTGAAAGTAGGCCCGAGGGCCTGGACGATAATAATCCTCCATTTTATGGTCCAAAAGTCGAGAGCGGGAGAATCGCAAGTTGTGTCGGAAGGAATACGGGCGCATCAAATCCCGCGTTATTGCGGGGATAAAAAGAACCGGAGTGCAAAAGGACAATCTTTGCGTATCGATTTCCCGGGGATCACTGCCAGAGATATGAGAAAACGCGTAGCAGGTATACATGAATTTTTTATGGAAAAATATTGGAATAAAAAGGAATAACATGGGGGTGTCGTGCAGGTTTGCGTCCTAGCCACGTTTTTGTCCTTATTTTCCTTCACCATCCCCTCCTTGGATGTTATATACTATAGCTTTTAATAAACAGCTTACTGTTATCTCTGCGACCGTGCGATTAAAGACAAACGCTTACTATGACGTTTAGACTGGATGATTAGATAACAACAGAACAAAGTTACGTGTCTGTTTTAAGAGTTAAAAAAATTGTGTTTTTGTACTTCATTGGTTGTGCAACGATAACTTTTATTATTACCAATTCTACAAAATCTATGGTTATTTTTAATTAATCTTTTTTTTTTTTTTTTTTTTTTTAACAAAGATATATTGTAACCAGCAGCTAAATTGATGCAATCCTTCCCTAGAACAAACATCAGTCCAATTAGTGGCTAGTCTCGAGATGTATCAGTAAACCGACACAACCTCAGCTTACCCTTCTCTTCCACTACTAATTAAGCTTTGGATATTGGTAAACGTATATGAGCGATTGGAGTTGAGCAATTGGGGTTGTTAACTCGTGCAGTCCCAATGTACCCCATACGTATTCCCGGGGCAGTCATACATTCATACGAGTAGACATGTCATGCAGGGAGTCGATTGATGACATTGATGCAGTTGCACCACACAAACACAAATATCTGTATACTGATAAATCAAACTAATGAAACTCCCCTACCACACATTAATAAACCCACAGCTCTTGTGAAACTTTGCTCGGCAGGAGATCCAATGATGTCGAATCGAAAGTTGGAAGCGTGAAACTACGGGTCCTAATTGCATCGGGTTTTGCAGCGCAAGCCTCTCCCGCATCGGCCATACATCACTCACATTTCCGGTAACCAAAGAAGCGAGACATGCGATGTGAAAGCCAAAATTGCGGATTCGGCAGTCCCGAGTGTTCTTTCGATTGTAAAGCCAGCAGGTGGTTGGCACAAGGCCGCGCTTGCTCAGCGAAACGATCGATTGCGCATCAGGCTTAAGGTGTTGCGTTTCTACATCTCCGAACTGTATATTTGCAATAGACCATTTTTTCCATTTTTTTTTTTTTTCATATATAGCGTATCACCCTGATCGATACAAGTGCAATTCGTCAAAACCCCATCGAGCACGTGTTACCCGCACTCGAGATGATATCATAAAGATTAACCGCCCTTGGCGCGGTAAATGAGATTTCGGAGGTAAGTGCATCCGGTAGAAGGAAATAAGAAAGCCCGGATGCGACAAATAATCCCCTGCCCCATCATCCCCAACGCGGAAGGTCACCGTATCGAGGAAGTTGCCGGGACGTCGTGTGCGATACGTCTTTATAACGTTATAGGGAGGCGACGCGCGTGTTTTTACAGATGGTCCTTCGCTCTCGAGAGGGTCTGGTCCTTTCGGGTAAACAGAGTACATGATGCTGGTCACGAGCTCACACGCGTGTCTTTGTTTGTTGTTGGTTTAAACGCATGACCGATTTTGTACCCGATCGAGGTATCGAGGGAAGCGTGAAATTTTTGTCGCAGCCATGTGTTCGCGATCTTTGTTAATTGTTGTTGTTTTTTTTTTCTTCTCCTCAAAAAAGTTTTGTCTGTGAATAGCTGCTCAAGTGGTTGTTTTTCTTTCGAGGTACTACTTTGCCCGGAAGCGATAAGGACACGGAGTATAGGTGTACGAGAAAGAGACCGAATTTCCATCGATATGAGCTCACGTCCTTTGCACGGAACCCCACTCGGTTCGGTTTAATGGAAAAAAAAACGAAGAACTCGATTATCGCTTTTATCAATTTTTTTTTTTCTTTCCTTCTTCAAAACAGAGTAAGTTAAAGCATAATAATTGTGTGTACCTCTGGTCGTGCGTGGTACATTACTAATTTTCAACATTTATTGCTTGGAAGTAAAATAAATGTGTGTATTTATTTGTGTATTTACTATGTCGTTATAATATTGCTTCGATAAAATACCTCAGATCGAGGATAAAAAAGAAAAAATAACGAAAAAAACTTAAGACAACTAGGAATAAATGTGCAGCAATGGATCGATTTGATTGCTTTTTGCTAATGCTTTTAATGGCTTCTGTATGTAAAATCAATGTTGTCTATAAAGTGTAAGAAAATTTAGAATTCATTTGTACTTGATTTTTTTTCTTTTTTTTTTTTTTTTTCAATCTTCAAGATAAAGATGACAATTTAGCAAAATTTTTCGGTCACTTTAAACAGAAAATTCATCAAGTAAATGATCGATTTAGTGATTCATGAAAAACATTAATTTGAAAGAATAAAAACACTCCCAACAACTATAATTTGCTTTGACACCTGTGAGATACAATTTAACATTGAGTTTTTTCTCTCTGCCTGCAAAGTCCAGTTGCCATAAATTACTCTGATCTATCACTGACATCTCATCATGCCACGCGCATATGTACGACTATGAACAATTCTACAAAAAAATTTTAGATGAAGATTCCAGAAAATTAAAAAATACTTGGGAATGAAAGTTTGTACGTTCATGACGTCATCATCGTGTAAAATTTTTAATATTTTGTAAAAAAATTTCGTTACTTGATTCATAGTAAATATAAACATTGGTAATTTTTTGTTTCATTTTGAGGGTATCCCAATTAAAGTTGTACCGTGGAATTTCAAGAGTCTGCCTATAGTAAGTGGTCAACATCAGATAAAAACGTAATAAAAATACGGTAGCAAAAAAGAGTAAACTATCCAACGTAGTGATATCTAATCTATGTACCGATGACATAAATGACTCTTGATCGTTTGGTCTTTCAGTTTGTAATACTTTATCATCTGAGCACATATTTGTTTCAATTAAACTCGTTAACCAAACGATCGCTACGTCAAAGAGATCTTTTATGTGCGGATAAAGTAGATGTGCCATTCCGTGTGACGTTTGCTACAATGTCAATAAATTCTTGGAAATATAACGGAATACTATGCAAAAAAAAATACAAATTATTTAAATAATTTTTATCTGCTTCTCATTAATTCTAAAAAAAAAGAAAATTTTTGTTGATAATAATTAACAAGTTTTCCTACACGATATGTTCACTCATTGCCGTCGCATAATTAATATTCATTATTAAATGACAATAAAGGAATAATCGGGTCAATATAAGATATTATAACAAGTGACAGATGAGATTCCATTGTTGTTCAAAAACTGTGTATGAAAAAAGAAAATACCGACTGTATTATTCGATGCCAGAAAAAATGAAGGTAACGCTACAGTAATAATAATAATAATAGTCTCTATGAGCTAATGGTCACGTGAGCCAGCAAATATTTTATTTACCCTTTGAACGTTTGAGAAAACAATGAAACGAAAGCATGTCAAGTAGCTGATTTCCGGGAATGTTATAAAAACCGTCCATGTGTTTACACAAGAATATGGGCTATTCCGCAAAAAAGTAGTGTTTAGTTGTACTTGAAAAGTTTTTTTTTTTTGTATGCACGTTGTTGTAAAAAATAGTTTTATTTTCATTTTGCTTTCGAGAAATATGGGAAAATTTATTTTTTCTTAATATTGCAATTTTTTTATCCAGAAATTGTGGAACTTGAAAAAAATTGCTAGACATATCCATTTTCTTCTCAGTTGCCTTGTGACTTTTTGATAAACTTGAAAGAGGTTTAAAAAAATATTTTATACCTTTTTTGTTACGTTAAGTATACCGCATTTATGTTACGTTCACGAATTTCTCTACATATTTCTAAAGGCATTTAAAAAATAAAAATCACGATCTGAATGGTCATCCTCGATAATAAAAAAAATCCAAGTACAATCTAAGCTAGACACTTTCGCGTGATTGCTCGTATACACGAGCCTCTACTGGAAAATAACGCAACGTCAAGTTCACTACCAACAACACGAATAATTTCGATGTATCATCAGATCAGTTAGTAAACAATTGTGAAAAGAAAAAAAAAATAAAATAACATGAAACAGTAATGACAAAATAACAGTTAAATAATTTCCACGTTTTTTTATAACTCAACTGAGCTCTATTAAGCGCTACGCGAACGATCAGTTGAAGCATTATTGCCAAGAATGCCGAGAATGCTTGTCTTGCACTCTCCAAGCGCGAGGATTTTTTATTTTTTAATTCTACTTCCTCGGACCGTAAACGATATCTTAATTGACGATGAAATTCGATCATTAGCAGAGAGGGAGAGTCAACCCGTACAGTCACGGGTACTGCACTTTATTTCAAATGATCCGTATTGACAGACGCTGCTGTTGTTGTTATTGTTGTCGTCGTCTCGAAATACACATTCCTTGCTCCGACGGGAGTTGATTTTTTTTTTTTCCAATGAAACGACAAGCACCAATCGATTAACCACAATAACACCCTCCTCTCGACTCACCTGTCGCAAAAATCCGGCACATCGTTCGTGTCCAGCTCCCCTACGATCCTGGCACCGGCCCGATCGAGCCCCAATTGGCACAGCACAAGGGCAACGATGGCCCACGAAAATCGGCACCCCGACATGACTCGCGATTCAAAGTCCAACTATGGATCTTCACGGAAACTACAACCAAAAGCCCCACGAGAGCTCGAAGCCGCGTGGCCGCCGAGTCGCGCAATAAGTATACGCTCTAGCGCGCGAGTCCCGCGCTCTCCATTATAAAGAGAAGTGTTGGCGCTGAGACAAAAGGAGGAGGAGGAGGAGGAGGAGGAAGAGATAGGACGGACGGACTGTAGAGTTGCGCTGGGCCTGGCCGGACATCGCCACGTGCATGGTTGTGTGTGTGTGTGCACCGGAGGCCTGAATTGATCACGAGAGGAGTACACAGCGGCCGGCCATTGGTCGACGACCTTAAAACACTTGGGCCCCCTCCTCTCACCATCTATATAGCATCTCATTTTATTACATCTCTTTCTTTTCTCTCTCTCCCTCTCTTTGGGGATGCCCCTGCACTCGGCAATAATTTAGCTGTCTGGGCTGCATTGCGCGCAGATGTGTCGGTGCACACACGGATGATGGATTTTCGCTGTGGTCGTGCCTGGCTTCTCTTATCGCTTCGGGGGAGAGAGGAGAGCCGATCGGTGTACAAGTTTCGGCTGGAGAGCGAAGTTTATCGGTGCGCTGCTTGATTCGTCTATTGTCGAGTAGGTGTACACCCCGTATGTGGGTCAAGTGCAACAAAGTGTGAAAACGAGGTGATGAGGCCGAAACTTTGCTCGGGTCCTTGGACTTATACTCGGCGTTTTGTCAGACTTGGAGGATCGTCGAACGGAACGGGTGAACGTGGAGTCGATACTGGATCACAGATTTTTTATAGATTTTAATCGCTCGCACTGCAAAGAGGAACGAATGTATACGTGTATAACAATGAATTGTACGGGATCGGTTTCGGGGCGAAAAATACGTAGCGAAGGCAATAAAAACCAAAAGTTTTACCTGAACGATTTTTATCGTAATTGTTTTTCCGTCGCCGTGTACACAACGCGATCAAAGTTATTTACGACCGAGGAAGAATCGCGAAACAATATCAGGCCTGGCTATGATTTATCGTTTAAATAACGTACATAGTAATGTCATTTACGATGTAATACTTTCATCTCTTTTTTAATTCCAGCAACTTTTCTCGACGATCCGCTTCACTCTTCCGATTTTCTTCCCATATTTTATCGTGCCCGTGCGCCCGAGTTAAAAATGATCGTATCGAAAATAAAAAGTACAGTGTCTCTGTATTGTTTCAATTCTAAACGGAAAAACATACAATGTACATCATTTTTACTTTTCGTGAAAATTCAATGATGTGAAGTTAATTTCCTTTCACTGCCATGGCGCCTTTTTATTCTACTTAGCCGTAGATATACGATCAAAATCGTTCTTCGCGAGGCAAAAGCATCTCGCAATTATCTGCAGCATCGCATTATTATCACTATCGTATCGTGATGTAATATAACGTTACATAAATCACCCGCACACCGTCTTGCCGGGAAATTATCATTACCACCGCAACTACAGAGTCCTTTGACAAACGAGTCTTACGTGTACACGTAATTTAGTGAAGCAAAGCATTCATCCCCAAAATAACTAGACATCCAAGCGTGTACAACCAGATCCTCGTGGACTGTATGTACTTTAGTCTACGCATCTCAATGTCGCGAATGTACCATCATTCGCACGCGAGCCAAGTGTTTCTCCAATTTAAGCTCGCGAATCTGGCACCTGTCAATTATCCCGCAAGAAACTCCAAAGCAGGTAACGCAGGAGCGATTACACGCGCGCTCGTGCGTAAACTTGTCGAGCTATCGGGCCGACGATTACATAATTATCCGCCTCCGAGCAGCCGTGCGCGCTCGATGATAATCCTGCCCGCGCTGATAGCCTCGTTGCCTTTTTTTCTTTATTTATTTACACGTCATCTATTTTTTTTTTTTTTTTCCTCACAATCTACAAGCATGCACTTATCGGAGATAGGTGGTGCGGGGCTTTGTAAAAATCCAAACCACGAGCCGCTCCACGTGAGGCGCATGAGTATACGTACTTTCTTATCCTTTCTCTCAACGACAGCCAGAGTCTGATTCATCGGTCGAGTGGCGCTCTTGAATGAGGTGCGCGGGATTTTTTTTAGACAGCTATGCTAGATAATAGTGAGCTTTCAATAGATGTTTTGAAAGCGTGCTGCTGAGAACCAGCTGTATTTTTTTTCTTTTTTTTTTTCACAATGAAGCTGCCGCTCTTTTCAATCTTCTGTAATCTGAATTTTCCCAAGGGTGTCTCTACTGATGTTCCGAACGGACCAAAACTTTGCGAATGAAAAGTTTCATATCTGCCATGGTATACTCTGACGGTAGATATTTCAGTCTTGTGATGAAAAAAAAAGCAAGTGACACTGAATCAAACTTTATTCCCCTGTCAGCCGAGCAAGGAGTGGGCAAAGAGACGATTCTCTGCACTCTTGGTCGCTTCCATTACACCTTGTCTCTCGTGAAAATCTCTTCTCGCATTAATTTCCCCCGTGTCTTCCCAAAGAAAGTTATGTGACGTGAAATTATATTCATTTTGCAAACAATACATGGATTTACAGTAATTTATAAAATAGCTTGACAATATTTTGTGGCAAAAAGATAACCTCGAGAGGAAAAAATATTGTATGCGTGACAAAAAAAAATGGAAAATTTCTACGAAACAATTTAATTTTATCGGTTGTGAAAAAATTCTCTGGAAGTAGTTGTAAATTAGTTGTTCATTTAGTTTTTAATTTTCCAAATATTGTTTTGTTTACATTTAATATTTTAAAATTTTCCTCTCAGAGTTTGTGAGCACTTTATTGCTTAGGAAAAAAATGTGCTTAATAAGTGAAACATATTAAAAACAAACAATTGACGACATATGGGCACATTTTATGACTAACATTATTGAATATTTTTTCAGTACATTAAATATTATTTTTCTCTATCACGTTCTCTCTGTCATTATTTTTCATCCAATTTTTTTATTAACTACTACAAATTTATTTATTTAAAAAAATAATCAACACATGGAATGACGACGTTGAGATTTCATATATAAAACTTTTGTAAAAGACTTTTTTTTTAATATTTGTAGTATTTTTATAAACGAATTTTCAGAAACACTTGATTTATTTATCACTTGGTATATCATTATTGCACCAAGATAGTAGTGAAAGAGTTTTTTTTTGCAAAGACCGGCCAAGCACACACATCAATGTATACATCGACGTACCTTCATTAGTAAGCGCAGCTGTCTTGTTCATGTCCGGGACACTTTGTTTCGATTAGATACCGTTACGAGAATCGCTTATGTGAATTACGCAAATAGTATGATAAAAACTGTACGCTGATGTACAGGAAAACCCAAACGCCACTTGTCATTGTGATTGTGTCAATGGAACATACATGTTTTCTACATACTTTTTATCACATTTTCAAAGCCATTACAACGTTTTTGTCAACAAACGTTTCAGTTTCGCTGAAACTGTGCAGTTTATACAATCGTGTCAGACCTTCGCTTTCAAGGCCAAGCTGCGGTGTTGGACAGAAGTCTTCATTAAAAAGACAGAAAAAAACAAAACAATTGTACGTCTAATGTTTTTTCATCTCTGTTATGTACCATTAGATTTTAATAAAAAAATTTTAAAAAGTATTACGATCAATAGCACATTTTACACCACTAGAAATACAACTCTGCAGCAAACAGAGATCTACTTTGATGAAAAAAAAAAAAAAAAAAAATTCAAGTTAACAACACCGACATGGCGGGATCACATTAAATCCCCACAACTTTCCAGACCGCAAACTTCTGTCTGCATCATTTCTTTGTGCTCCCATCGGGTATACGCGCGTCTCGACGCCATCGGATATGCCCAACTCCAATCACTCGATACGATCTCTCTGTCCCTCTCTCCTCGACGCTCCACTTCACCCCAGATTATCGTCGGACTTTCAATAAATCCCGACCGTGCCAAGTTTGAATTCAATTAATGCAACTTCCGGCTGGTTGCTACATAGATGTATATGCATACGAGTACCCTGTATACATCGCGCGCGGGCCGACGCTTTTCGAACTTTATCAATCGACGAGACGCTTAATCCTGCACTGTTTGGTTATGCAGAGAGCAGTGTACCCAAGCACTTAATGTTTCGTAAAATTGTTACTTTGCTGCGATTGGCGAAACAAGTTTTATGCAGTTCAAAAAAAAAGTGACATGGATTTTGTATCGGTAAACGTTATCCGGAGACCAGTTGGGACTGGTTAGAAACGAGGGTGACATTATTTACTGTGATCGACCGGACGATGATACGATTTAACGACGCGCGTATATCACGTGATTTATATTGCTCGCGTGTAGTTTTTGGTCAACGATGATGAAAATAAATAAAATACTTTTTTTTTAATCCTTATTTAGCCTATAGTCAGCGAGCTGGGATGAGTAAATTTTGTTTTGTCTCTGCAGCTTGCTCGTTACGTAAAAGTTTATAGTTGGGATTTAATTGTGTTTTACTGCTGTATCATCACGTCCGATTTCCCAGACGTAACAAGTAATCACGGACGTACCAATCGAACGAGTGATTTCGAATTGTAATAATATCATTTGATTTTCTCGATCGACGATAATGAATTTCAATTCGAATGCCATTACGGACTATACGGTGTCCTAATTGAGTTTAATATCAGTGACATTGTATACATGTATTTTACCAAATGCCAATAGAACTCGACTAATAAATACTTTTGGTGTATTTAAATACGTGACAGATTGTAGAGCTTACGTAGCTGAATGTATAAACTCGTAATTGTCATTTGTAGTTTCGTAAAAATGTCTCTCGACTGTTATAATGTGAAAAAACGACGCAATCACTTTCCTGGTCACGTATCGGACGAGACATGAATCTATTACCATATAAATGGCGGTTTTTAAAATGCATACCACCGATAATGGAAAAGTGTTTAAAAAATCAGCGAGAAAATGAGTTTGAGCAGCGATTTTCAACGTAATAGAGAAAATCGTCAGTTTAGCAACAATTTATCGATATTTGAGTCATCCCCACAGGGCCAGCCAGACCCTCCGTCGTTCCCATTAAACACGCTTCTTTCGGAAAACGGGAAGATGGAGCGGGGAGAAAAGGGGGGAA